ATGACTCATTAACAAGTTGGTATTTGTTTTGGCTCATAGTTGGGTATTTAAATGACAGTTTTCCCATTAACTAACCGAGAAGACAATAGAGAGTAAATTTTGTGTCGTTCAAAGAATAATTCAAAAAATACCTCATTTAAATTAACCAATTATAATATTTAACTAGATTCTCATCCACACTTTGTGCGGGAACATTCGTTTTATATGTTGTAAACTATACTTAGCTTTCTATTGTGTCGTATATAATATGTTCTAAGATGAGATATGTCTTGTTTTAGTTTGTAAGTAGAATCGATTAGTTTGAAAAAGTATGACGGTTTTTTTAGTTTAAGGTAGAGAATAAGTATGTTAAGTACTGAATTTTATAATGAATAGTCATTGGAGTTGGTATACATAAATTATAATATTTAGTTTTGTGCATGTACATATGTCTGTCGTATCAATTATTTAGTTTTGTGCATATACATATATCTGTCGTATTTACTTATTGAATAATTTGAATATCTAAAATATGTTATCTTAATTTAACTATTTTATGAATGATCTTACCTTGCATGATATCTAAATATAATTAAATATCAAAAACTATTAGGAAAAACATTGTTTTTAAGCTTGAAGAAATACAATAACCAAAATCCATACTAAAACATAATGAAAATACAGAAGAACTAAAACCAAATTATTTAGGTGTTTTCTCTTCTCTCACGTCAGCCTGAATGATTGAGATCGAGATTTAAAATTGTTTYAATAAGAATGGTTTATAATATGGCCAACGTACTAAATCTCTATGTAATAGAACAAATCTAAAATAACTAAAAAAAAACCAAAACATAAATTGTAGGTGTAACCCTGAAGATTTGATCCAAAAAGCAAAACAATAGTACTTGAGACTCTTTATCGCCGAAAATTGATCAAACTCTTTAATCAGGTTCAAAAACTAATCTGTTAAAAAAAAATCAAAATATTATAAAAAATGAACAACTTGTATTAAGAGACGAATTTGAAAGAAGTTAAATAGATGAATCTCCATACCTTCATCATACAACAATTGTGAGTCAATATTTTG